AGACTTTACACTCCACACTCTACACTTTCCACTTCACACTCCACACTCTACACTCCACACTTTACACTTTACACTCCTCACTCCACACTCCACACTCTACACTTTACACTTTACACTGCGCACTCCACACTCTACACTTTACACTCTACACTTTACACTCTACACTCCGCACTCCACACTCTACACTTTACACACTCCACACTCCTCACTCCACACTTTACACTTTACACTCCACACTCCTCACTTTACACTCCACACTCCCCACTCCACACTCTACACTTTCCACTCCACACTCCGCACTCTACACTTTACACTCCACACTCCACAATTTACACTTCACACTCCTCACTCCACACTCTACACTTTACACTCTACACTTTACACTCTACACTCCACACTCCACACCACACCTTACACTTTACACACTCTACACTCCCCACTCGACACTTTACACTTCACACTCCTTACTTTACACTCCACACTCCGCACTCTACACTTTCCACTCCACACTCCACACTCTACACTTTCCACTGCACACTGCAGACAGGTAACAGGGGAAATATGTACAAGACTGTTCAAATAAACTATTGCAGAAAAGTGTTCTGCGTGACTGCATATCCATGTGTTTCGACATCTGTACCATGAACATACGTGTGAGCATTCGGGTTCGTGGGCTGCATCTTGTCCCGCAGCCAATTGTTTCAGGAGGCAAAATTTTGCGCTCAAGGTCCAAGACAAAAATTGCATCAACCTGCCCCCTCCCGGCCCCAGGCAGCAAGCAAGCAAACAGCAACAGTTCAACAGTTATATAAACAGTTCAAAAGTTCAACAGTTCAACAGCCACAACACCACCACCACCAACAACAACAACCGCAATCACAACCACAACCACAACCACAATCACAACCAACAACAGCCACAACAACACCAACACCAACAACCAACAACAACCAATATCAACCAACAACAAGCAACAACCAGCAACAACAAACAAGAACAAGCAAGAACGACAAACAAGAACGACAAGCCAGCAGCCAAGCAAGAACAAAAACAAGAACAAACACAAGAACAGAAACAGCAACACCAGCAGCACAACCACCACCACCACCACCACCACCACCACAACCACAACCACAACCACAACCATCACCACCACCACCAACAACAACAACAAGAAAAACCAACACCAACATAACACCAACACCACCACCACCACCAACAACAACAGCAGCAACAACAACAACAACAACAACACCAACAACACCACCACCACCACCACCACCAACAACAACAACAATAACAATAACAACAACAACAACAACAACGAACAACCACAGAGCCACATACCACACCAACCAAAAAACATCCCCCCCAAAACAAACCAACAACCAACAACCAACAACCAACAACCAACAACCAACAACCAACAACCAACAACCAACAACCAACAACCAACAATCAACAACAACAACAACACCAACCAAAAAGAACGACACCAACCAAAAACAACAACACCAACCAACCAAAAAAACAGCAACACCACAACACCAACCAACCAACCAACCAACCAAACCAAACCAAACCAAACCAAACCAACCCAAACCAACCCAACCCAACCCAACCCAACCCAACCAAACCCAACCAACCCAACCCAACCAACCAACCAACCAACCAACAACACCACCAACAACAACAACACCACCAACAACAACAACACCAACACCAACACAAACAACCAACAACCAACAACCAACGACCAACAACTACATCAACAACGACCGCGCCGCAACCGCAACCACAACCACAACCACAACCAACAACAACCCACAACCACAACCAACAACAACAACAACAACAACAACGACAAC